TCTCCAAAATTTCAAGCATTTTGCTAGAGTTGTGACTGCTAAGAGTTCATGTTAAAGCCACAACTACTGCAGCAGTGAAGCAAGCAGAGGGCTGGGTGCTTGGTCTGAGAACTGCATAGCTCATTGAGATGCTGAGAGAGCATTTTCTTCCTCTTCTTGAAAGGAAAGAGATGGAAGGAAAATTATAAACTAGAAAAGTATGTTTGTGGGAGAAGGAATCTCATGTTTGTGGGTTCAGATGCCTGGCACAAGCAATTTTCATTAGCCTTGGCAGATAGGGGCACAGCACAGTGTCACTTCTTTGATTCCACTGATTATTCAGCCCCACCAGGTGAGTGAGGCCAAGGTTCTAAACAGGTTAGGTCCAGTAGAAGACCTCCCATGAGGGAAGGAATTCCATGAACTGAGAAGTCCTTGCAACTTCTTTCATCCCTAATATTGTTGTTTGGGGATTTTTTGTTGGTTTTGGTGGGGTTTCCCTTCCATGCCTTTGCTTTTCCTTCTCTTTCTGCTAGTCTTTTAAAATATTCCAGTGTGTAATGCCTTCCTAGCCAAAAATGTCAATAAGAAAGGAAAGAGAAGTTAAAAACCTGCCTCTATTCACAGTGTGGGTGTAAACAGACTCATTTTTAACAACATGGCACACTTTCTCCTGTGGCTGCTTCTCTTACTGCTCATGGAGACAGGAGAATATTGGCTTTTTCCAGAGCAAATCACGACTTCACGAATCATGAACCCTTTTGAGGACATGGAGCGCAGTGTCAAGGTGATCTTTAAGGTGTAAAGCCCTGCGTGCCCTCCAAGAAAGGAGCTGCACTGTGACCTGCGGCGATGGCAGGCACCAGGCGGTGCCCGGCGCGGCCCGGCCCTGTGCGGGCTCCGCGCTGGGGCAGCCCCGGGGCAGCGGGGCCGGTCCGCCGGGCTGGGCGCGGGCGGCGGAGCGCCAGCACGGCCCGGCCCCGCGTGGGGCCCGCGCACGGCTGCCGGCTGCCTCCTGCCGACGGCCGCTCCCAGCCCCGGCCCGGGCGGCAGCGCCGCGCCGCAGCTGCTGCCGCGGCCTGCCGGGTCATACCCGCAG